TTAAAAATTGGTATAAATGATCACTTTTGAGATGAAGTTCTAGAAATTGAAACAGTTAACACTTTTTAACACACAGATTTCACACTTCTTAACAGTACCAGGACCAGGCGCCAACAGAAAAATGTTTGAGCCAACCTGTCCACGGGCTTCGGCAATAGTGTTGCTGTTTTTACGATCTTAGTTCTGGCGAGAAAGGGAGTGAATCCAAGGAAGGTTTCTGATCGCCTCCCGGTTGGTGAGTAATCGAATGACAGGGTACTTTCACCTGCGACAAGAAGGGACACACTGTAAGTCCTTGATTGACACCGAAAAACTGACGCCATTGTCATTCGAGGAATAACGAAGCGCTTTCTTGAAACTGAAAGATTTTGTTGGCCATCGGATCCTTCCCCGGGTGGTTGCTGCCATCCTAGGTTGGGGACTACACTGGCGAAGAAACTGAAGATGGCAAAAGCCGCTAGAACCTTGAAATATTTTGAATCAGCGACGCGCGGCGAATCAATGAAAGTGGTTTCAGAACCCTATCTTAGGGAACAATCGCAGAAACACAATCTGCAGGTAACGTTTCCATTGTTTCCTTGTAAAGGTCTCTCGCTTGACGGACTTTTCGTTTATCTTCATTCTCTGCCATCGATACTCTCTAACCGCCTCCTTGATTTTTTCATCGCAAAATGAATGAACTCTTGGAAAGAAAGTCGATTTGAGCGCTCATTCAGCACTCTCCCAGCTGTATTTGAAAGTTATCACTAATTATAAACATGCGCCAAGAGTGTGCGACCACAACAAGCATGTCTTACCTTGTTTTTTACAAAGCCTAAGCACGGGTCACTTAAAGGTGCTCGTTTGCATCCGCTTTCTGGTTCCTCGTACTCCTTCCGTTCATTTTCTTAACAAATAGAAATTTAGCCAGACGTTTAAATTAATAACAAACATTTACTTCAGTGTCAAATGTATTTAGGTACGAGCTATTTGGGGGCACTATATATAGCCAACATAAAATTAAGCCGACAATAAAACATTGAAATATTAATTGAGAGTTTTATATCGACTGCACAGAGATTATTTTAATCTCACATTTACAATCTAAAATCTATAATCTATAATCTGAATCAAAAATATAAATCATTTTCCTATAAAGGTAGCAACACTCACTATACGATCTAAATTACTACTGATGTCTAGTTTTCTTATGGTGTTTTTTGCGGCCTGAAGGTTGTTTGTCTGGTTTGCCTGGTTGTATAGTCTGACCCATGGTGCAGGTCTAAAGAAAAGTATTTTTTCCGTAAGTAGAAGTGTTTGAAAAATCGAGGTAAATTAAAATCTTTGCTACGCATATAATAACTTGAACTATTTAAAATAGTTTAAGCCATTATCGACATCTACGATCTGAAACCCTCTATTCACAGCTGCAAAGGATATCAACCTTAAGAGCGCTTGTCTATAAAAACTAAACATATCGCGGCAAGGGTGGAAAAGTCGATTTCTTTCTTATTTTAATGTTAGATAGGCTAGGCTATAACTAAAATCACCGGATACTTTTTTTGGCGAAATACCTATTTATTTCAGAAAAAAATACAAATAACGAAATTCCGTTAAAATCGTCATTTTTTGGAGGAAATTATTGCACGAGTTTGAGGGCTTCGCGTGCAAAAACTGATCACTATCTCTTCTTTTAAACACTCAAATCTTCTTTTTCGATCTCCTAAGACCTCACGAAATGATTTTTGTAAACATTGCGCTCTTCTTTGCGCTTAAAATAATTTAATTTCGAAAGCATGCATTTCTCTTCAGTAAAAATACTTCGTGAATAAAATTAATTTTCACCATGTGCTAAACCTTCAAATGGATTAAGCTTTTGGTGGTTGAATTTCGAAAAGATGTTCTCAATATTACTGTAAAAATTTGTTTGGGCAAATGATTGAGAGCGCTACAAAAGCTTTTCAAAGTCCGTTAAAATGCAGTTATTTGACCTTTTGCGGTCAACATTCCAGTCGCGAGTCACACATATTTTAAAATGTTTCAACCAATATGAGGCCGAAAAATGTACATAGAAACATATTTCCAAATGCTCTAACCTCGTTTACCGCAGAAGACCGATCCAGAGACCATTTTAGTGTGATGCTCTTGTTGTTCGTCGTATTTAGGTCTGTATAAATGATAACGTCCGATGAAACCACCAACCCTGTCGAACACCATCTTGTCGTCAAACGTTCGATATCTTTCTTCACTGTGGAATCTTATTCAACGGTTCAGTTGACTGCGAGTATTGCTCAGTTTACAATGCACTAAAAGATTACATCTGACAGTCTAATTACTGGGATACCTGTGGTATCCCAGTCATAAAATGCTTTTGTTTTCACTGGGATACCTGTGGTAGCCCAGTCATAAAATGCCTTTGTTTTGTTGTCGTCTTTTTTTTTTTTTTTTTTTTT